CATCGAAAACTCGAGGTCGAAAAAAATCATGATTCCTATACTTTCCTTATATCTGTATACAGATAGGAAAGTAAAAATGCAGGTGAGGTTAGTATACTGAAATGCAGTGTTAGTTACTAATACACTATTTTGATGTTAGATAGTAATTTTACACAATGAGGAAAAGTGCGGAAAATTATAGAAAATTAGTGTGTAGTGCAATAGTTTTTAGGAAAAACATTTTAGTTATCATGGTAAATGATATTCTTACTCTTTCTTCGCTGAAACCTTTTCTTTTTATATGAGATGTCTAGTAAAGATTATTTTTAGTTGTAATTAAATCTTCATCAATACAATGGCTATAGTATCACATAAAAATTGATAAAAACAATGTTCAGATTTAGGAAATTAAGAATATAATGTTAAAGAATATTTTCGTTGTAGTTTGTAACTTTGGAGATACAGATAAAATCTTAGTGACTTATTTTATGTTATTTCCAATCCCTGATTAGTCAGAAAAAAAGACAATTTTTCCGAGTTCTAGATCGGAAAAATCTACAACTCAAGCCGGAAAAATTAAAAATATTTTGTGGCTCTTCTACACTCGGTATTACTAAAACTTCTTAGAAATTAAAACTTTCAAATAAGTTTTTGGAATTTCTCAACTATTATGCATAATAATTGCTTTAAAAACAATTACAAGGTGTTATAGTTATATTGTTGCTAAATATGACATAAAATCTTTATTTCCTTGTTTTATTTTGTTGTATCTTTGTTATTACATCATAATATAATTCGAAACGTGTTGTTTTTTACTATTACTTGTAAAAGGTCAACAACTACCATTATTGTTATATTATATACATCTAATATTAAAATGGAAAAAACGACATTCCTTAGATGATTTACTTTTACACACATATAGTGCGTTTCGTAACAAAAATTAATTAAAATTTAAAATTTTCGAGATTTGCATTAAACGATAAAATTTCCCAGTTTTTAAATGTTGAACCACAATCAATTGGTCTTTTCACAAAACTAATCTTGTGTTTTTAATTTAATATACCCGGTGATTTAGTTAAGTTTCTTTTATTGTAAACTCAAAATATCAAAATTATACCACATACAGCAAAAAGTATGAGCAAAGAAAACAAGAAATTGTTAAATTTTTTTTAATCTACATAAAATAGGGCATAATAAACTAGATCACAAATACACATTTTTCTATTAATATTTTTCTCTATTTTTAAAAATAATGGTACTTTATTGTTAAGCAAGGCTTTTTTATTATTTATGTAGTTTATATTGACTTTGACATACCGATGTTAACAATTCCATGTTGTCATTTGACTATATAATTTTTTCAAAATCTATTTCACAGCGAGATATTTATTAGAAAAGGCAACAATTTAAAAATAATTTTAATTATACAGGGTTCTCCAAGAAAGTGATATCTATCAAAGTTAGGTTTTTAAAACGGATTTTATTTTATATTTGAATTGGCCCTGCTTTTCCCATTATAATAATACCAAATAGTATGAGATTGTACAGGGTACTTCACACGCTATAATCAGTTTTATAGGAGTATCGTATTGATTTCAATGACCTGTATAGTGCAAAAGAAACAATTGAAAACCAATGCTTTTGCTTTATTAGTCAACATTTATGCCGATGCATTTTTTAATTAGAAAAAAATTCATACAAGGTGAGTCAAAACATAGTTTTCTGTTTTTTAAATTGACCACCCTGTATTTTATTACCATTTGAAAGTACCTTAATTAAAGTTTCATTTGAGTTAAGCCACAATCGTCTTTAATCTTCTTAGCCACAAAGACAAAAAATTACAACGTTGTGAAGAGGTCTATTATTTCTTTCTTTGACCCAAATATGCCAAATGAAAATATCTAGCAGGTTATTTAAAAACTTTCACTTACGACACCCGCGTGCCAGTAAAATACTTGTAGAGTAAATTAGTGTATTTAATATATAATTAAACGGTCTGTAATTTAAAAAATTTGGTGATATTGATAATGATAAGATAATTGTTTGATAAACAAATTTGCATTTTAACTGAAGAAACTAAGAGTTTTATCCCAAGTTTCATGCAATCAAAATGGCTGAAAACTAAATAGTTTGTTTAAAATTGTATTCTCAATAGTTTTCAGTTATAAATTTAAGGTTTTAGTTTATAAGTAAATGGTATAGAAGTTTGAATAATAGGTATCTCCCAAGAGGTACTCTTTTAATACTCCATTTGAGGTTTTAATACATCAGGAAAGAGCGGAGATCACCATAAGGGAGCCCAATGCCCAACGACAGGAACAAACCTGGTATACAGAAGGGTCTAAGACTGCGGAAGGCACTGGGGCAGGAGTATTCTCCAAAAACCCTGATACTAACCATAGCTATGTTACAGGAATACATTCCTCGGTATTTCAGGCCGAGGTATACGCAATTTGAACAATGAACAATGAAAGAACTGTCGAAAATCAGCATATTCAAATAATGTCGACAACCAAGCGGCACTTAAGGCCATATCGAGTCAGAAAGTTACTTCTAGGCTGGTATGGGAATGCATCGAAGAACTAAGAACACTGGCAGACCGAAATAGAGTGAAACTATTTTGGGTGACAGGTCACCAAGGGATCGAAGGCAACGAAAAGGCTGACGAACTTGCAAAAATAGGGTCAGAAAAAACACCGGAACCAGACACAAACCTAGGAGTACCAAAAAGTACAGTCCGGGGTTTCATAAACAACTGGATTCGGGAACAACATATCAACTATTGGGGAAACACCCCAAAACAGGCACATGGAAAGGCCTTCATAGGCAGACCATGTCCCAAAAGAACTGAAAAACTACTCTTAATGAATAGGAACCAGTTGAAAGTGATAACAAGGTTCATGACTAGGCACGCCCCAGTAAAGGGACACTTGAACAAAATTGGCATGTACAATTGGGAACTCATGTGCCGACTATGTCACAAGAAACCAGAAACGGCCAAACACATACTGTGCGAATGCGAAGCTCTAGATCGCAAAAGACAGGCTCTTTTTGGACAACCCCAGGTTGATCCAACAACGTATAGAACCCACTAACCCAAGGACCTGTACAAACTTGTACAAGGTACAAAGGTGACAGAGTGGGTGCTATGAACTAACATGGGGTAAAACACAATAAGCCAATAGGCTTCAGTGTTATTCGGAGACACATAGTCAGACGAGCCCAGGAGAAAAAAAAAGGTATCTCCATCAACATTTTTGATAAAAAATACAATTAGTAGTTTGGCACCTACAACTTGAAATTTAGGATTTTTAGACAAATGATTGTTTTATTTTATTTTTAAATGGTAATAAAGGTGTATCAGTTTTTAAGTATGCTAAAAATGAGAATTTAAAGAAAAAATGTTTTAAACTCTATTCCAAGGAATGACTGGGACCTTTCAAAAATAGTAACGGTTTGTTAAATAATTAAATTGAATTAGATGGTAATCTAACGAAAATTTCTGATAAATTAAAGCCTAATGCATGTCACTGTATTTTTCCAAATTTGCCATAATACCTCTCAAAATTCATACCCACTCAAAGAAAAAATCCAGATGAAAAAACAGAAAAACATATTGAATGTGTTAACCAATATTGAAATATCCGATATTATAGAAAATTTAGGGGATTTAATTTGAAATTTTAATAGAAAGATCATCAAGTTTCGGAAAGCTGGAGGAGTAAAATTATAAAGGATTTTAAAATATATTTTTATACAGTGAATTATTCAAAGGAATGTCTAATTTACTGGCACACTTACCGTTAAAAAATTGCTCTTCAATTGTTTGTTTTGCATTATACAGGTCATTAAAATCATATAAAACTATTTGGTATCGTTATAATTGGAAAACCAAAGGCAATTCAAATATAAAATAAAGAACAGGTTGTCATATTTAAAAAAATCTAACTTTGATATGTATCACTTTCTTGGAGAACCCTGTATAATTAAAATTATTTTTAAATTGTTGTTTATTCTGATATAAATCTTGCTGTAGAAACAGATTTTAAAAAAATCAAATAGTTTTGGTCCCACAAACCGAGGCGTTACCGAAGGCCCACCCTGTATATAAAGTGGGTGGAATACTACCTAAATTGGCCTTCTGAAACTTCTAATAAAACAGAACCAATAATATGGCACATTTATGGCGTGATTTAAGAAAATCAAAATAACGATTGTGGTCCATCAATTACTAAAATTTCACTTTAAATAAAACACAAAAACTATCTAAACACAGGGACGTAATAAGGTAGGTATTGTGTGGTTAGGAATTGTTAGTACATACAAAGAGAAGTCATAAGTGTAGTCTAATAGACGTATCGTCTGTGACCTAAAAAATGAAAAAATAACAGTGCAGACAGTTGACATATATGTAAGAGGATAGAACAAAAAACGAAATAGAAAAAGAAAGCATGCTTATATTTCAAATACATAAAACAATGAGTACACAACAATTTTTATACAATTTTACATTATAATGTATAAGAGACTAGAACTTTGATATCACAGAGAAATATTATATAAAATAATTTTATATAAATCACAAAATACAATAAGCAAAATAATAAAACACACAAGTATAAATAAATAAGGAAAATTAAATATTTACAGTGATAATAGTAATATTTATTTTGTATAATGAATACATGATTTGTATATTTATCCATACTTGTAGTTAATAATATAAACCATAACCTTTTAAAACGATTGAATAAGAAAAAATATCTTTTAAACACTGTTTTAATATAAAATATTCAAATTTTATAAATTTTAATAGTACTGTATTCAGTTTTTATCCTAAAATAGTAGAATATACCAGTGATTTAATTAGTACTGAAGATGAAGAAGACATCAAACTATTTGACTGATAAAGAAACATAATAGCTAACGATAATTGCAAAAAAATATAAAAGTATAAATTAAAAAAATATTTATTCTAGTCCAATCCTTTTTAACTCTCCAAAAACAAATTTTCTCACCCTCAACATTGACCTCAATATCCTCCAGCCGCCCGGGATGGTTAATCAACAACGTGCTCGGTCTGTGTACAGGTCCGGGTCCCGGAAGCGTAACACTAGGTCCCGTCCCACTACCGCCTACGCTCACTATCAGAGGACATCCAACCACAGCTCGTTTATTAAAAGCAACATTGACCACATGATCGCAAGCTTCAGCTGGCACAAAGCTAACGGCGAATCTAGCGTTACCTTGGGGATGGACTTGGGTAGGAATGTTTAATCCTCTAGCTGATATTGTTATTTCTAAATTGCCCTCTCCTGCCTCGGACGCGTCTACAGAAAAGGTCACTGGGCGACCCACAGTACCTCTGGCTACAGTTCCAACGGTCACCTGGGAGGAATCACCAACAAAGTTAGTTTAGATAGTTTATTAGTAATCACTCTTACATTCAAAATTTCCTTTTAAATCCTCCATTCACACTACAATCATTCCATCAAAATATTCACCTTATTCGAGTCAAAAGCTTTGGCAATAAACGGAGTCCCCTGCACCGGTCTTCCATTGTAGTCGACGCTGATCTGATGCGCACCCACTTGCACTGGAGTAAATTCAGCAGTGAATCCAGAATGAATATCGCCCGTTACTTTAACAGGAAGTTCTCCCACCGGTCCCCTGACAGCCACGGCGAGCTCCGCTGCTCCTCCACCGGCCACTCCCATGTGGAAGGAGCTCGGCTGGTTGACGGGGACCAATTCTAAATGGGACAGCGACAACGTGACCCTGCTTGTATCAGAAACCGAGCAAACGAAGGGACATCCTCTGACTGTTTCGCCGTTGAATTTAATGTCTATTAGGTGGGGTTTGGCTTGGTCTGGAGTGAAAGACACGAGACATCTTCCTCCTCCTACTACTTGTACGTGGTTCGGGACTTCGCCTTCGTTTATTGAGATCTCTAGTTGGCCTTCGCCGGCTTGGCTTGCATCCACTGAAAAAGAAAGATATTTGTGGTTAAATGAATATGGAAAATTTGTATTAAATATCTCAATTAATTATTTATCTGTGATAGAAAGAAGTATTTACAAGAAAGCCTTTTTATATAAAGGTTTTCAAGGTTTGAAATTAACCGGTTCAAAAGAAAAAGGCAATATACTACTATTGCCAGCATATAATGTAGGTATATATTTGTTGAGATTGAAAGAACACAATTATGAGATATTTAATACGTAATCAGTAATTTATTTATTATAAACCAGATTATTGGAATGATGTTTTTAAACATTATAGAAAGCGATGGCAAAAATACTTGATTCATCACTCAACATTTGTTTGCAGGTTAGATCGTTTCCTTTCATTTGTTGTATATTTAGTATTCTTTAAAATTTACAAGAAACAGTTACTAAACAGTTATTTTTATAACTAAACTGATTGTGTCAGCCTTCAGTGTGAGATGAAAATTGAAAAACATTAAAAAATGCCTAAATCTCTAAGCAGCAAATATCAAGACATAGTAAATAATAATAGTAATAATAGCTCTGTTAAACTATTTTCAACTAGAATGTAAAATGGAGGGCCACTGCTTCCACTTACTTCTTTTATAAGGGACGTAAGTGATGATATTTATACAAAAAAAAGTTGTTTTTTTTAATATAACAAGTTGAATGTAAGATTAGAATTATGAAACTCTAAGTACCTATGCTATATAAAGTAAATTAATGTTACATAACAGAGTTTTGCAGATGCCTTATAACTAAGTCTTACAACGGTGAATCGTATTGCAGCCAAGCACAAGAGAGGTGAAGTTCCTAAAAGCTCACCATAACGTTCAAAACCTATTGTTGGTATAGATGTCTTTGATCAAAATGTGTTTCAATTTCCGAAACATTATTTATAAAATGTATAGAGTTTGTATCAATCCTACAATATTCAAATCATTTAATACAAGTATTTTTTAAGAGAAACACATAACCTTACAAACATTAAAACAAAAACTTCAGGAGCGTGAACTTTCCAGTGTTTCTATATCCTCACTATGGAAAATTTAAAAAAAAATTGGTTTTAAATACAAGAACTTAAGGGTTGAGGACCTACAGGCCGAGCCTCCGGGTGGTAAATAGAAGGCGGACTGACTATTTGGCTAGTGACAGCTATAAGTAAGGTGAGAGGACTTAAAAACACTCAAAATCTTAATAATACCTGGATCAAGATATTGCAAACAGAGCCTTTGGGACACACCTTCATCTTCCAGAGTATCACAACCTTACTGCGGCATGCGGGGCTCTGCCGTAGCGCACTGTTTCTCCCTAGCAACGTGGGATCAAATATGAATTCCAAAAACAACACAACCAGCGAAATACAACAAAAGGTAACAGCGTCAACCTCGAAAGAGGATACGATGAAGGCAACGTTTCTTGCGAAGGCTGAAAAGCTAGCAAAGAGGCGTAAAGTACATCGTTTCCTCTGTGAAAGAGGTAGACCAAATGTCCGAGGACGAGGTAAACTCTGCCCGTCTTGGTGGACATTCAAGAACGGGGCTAAAGGAGCTCTTAATTACACAGCCGCAAAAAGGTAGGTAATTAAGGACATTTTTCAAAGGGCTCAAACAAAGCCATAAAAGCCCCAGAAGCTAGAGTGTCAAGACAACAAGGCAAAAGGAGCTGCTAAGCAAGGCACAAAAGCTCTAAAACGAACAAGGTCAACAGACGTAACCCCGCCACACAACCGACTGAGGAAGAAGGCTAGGACGGACGAAGTTTCGTTCAAAGAGGCTTTTACCTCAGTGAAGGTTGCAGTGGAGATCAAAATTAGTCCAAAGAAATTAGGAAAAGTTCAAGACTCGATTTCCGAGGCCAACGATAAAATTACCACAGAAGGAACACGATAATAATTTATGTCGCAGGTTGTGTGGAAAAAATTGGGGACTACAACCGAGAATGTCCCTATAGCTATATATCAGATACCTACGGGTTAGTGGTATGGTGACCAAAGACTCGGCAAGCTGGAGCTATTCGATAGCTCAATAGTATTTAAAGGCAAGCGTGCCTGAGTACCACGGGAGCTATGAGAACGACTCCAACAGCAGCCATAGAAGTCATGCTAAATCTAACACCACTACATATATTCGTAAAAGACGAAACTAGGTCTGTCACAAACAGACTGTACAAATAAAGGTCCATCATCCATAAATAGTTTGCATGGACGTGACTACAGCGAGCTATATAAAGAGTTGGAGAACGACCAAATAATGGGAATGTCTTCGAGGACCTCCTATTCATGCAGAATTCACCTGGTATACAGAAGGCTTCAAAACCCATGAAGGTTCAGGAGTAGGTATATATAGTACCAAGCGCTAAAGACAAGAATCATTTCACTGAGCTTAGGTAAACGTGCGACAGTATTCCAGGCAGAAATAGCAGCAATACGTCACTGCGCAAAGGCGGTATTAAAGGTAAATGAAAAAACCATTGTTATATACTGAACTGAACTGTAGTGAACTTGAACCAAGATATCAGTAGCAGCAAAGAAAATGATTATTAAAAAATTGTAAAGGTTGGAACTGTTATTTTAACAGAATCATTTCTTACTCAAATATCGTTTGTCGTCTATGCTTTTATCAGAGAAAGTGACATTGATTTTGATCTAACACACAACGAAGAATAGGTCACTTATATTTTGATTAATCTCGTTCATCCGAAGTATTAAATTATACTTATATACGTTTTGTTAAATAATATGTTATTCAATATATATTTTTGTTCAATGATTTCTCGTCCAATTTTTATACATAACCTCTATATCAGCTATTAATATTACAAAAATGGTGCCTCAAATGGGTTTTTTTTCTCTCCTGGGCTCGTCTGACTATGTGTCTCCGAATAACACTGAAGCCTATTGGCTTATTGTGTTTTACCCCATGTTAGTTCATAGCACCCACTCTATCACCTTTGTACCTTGTACAAGTTTGTACAGATCCTTGGGTGAGTGGGTTCTATACATTGTTGGATCAACCTGGGGTTGTTCACTCAAATGGGTTAAATAGCTCTTAATTTTGAAATAGTTTCCTTGTAACTATTAAATTATTGTTCTAATTCCCATAGGTATTTCACAGAGGTTAACTAAACTAACTGCATGTCTTGTATTTTTACTAATATTCTTACCTCTTATTTTAACCTTTTCTATACATCTTAGTGCAGTGATTTATTCAATGTTTTTACCTACTTTTTATTAAATTTAGTAAATTAAATTCTACATTTTCTTTAGATTTTGAATTTCTTCCCTTTATAATTTATTTTTATTATAACTATGTAATTGAAACATTTATTAGAAATGTTTTTCTTGATTGGTAGTAAATTTATATATTGTAATTGAACTTGAGTAATATCGGAACTTACAGCTCAAAACACAATAAAAAAAATATATAATTTTATATAAAAGCTAACACATGTGTCATTCATTGCTGATGTAGAGGTTATGTATAAAATTTGACAATCGGTCGAGAAATTATCGAACAAAAATATATATTGAATAACATATTATTAATAAAACGTACCTTATAAAATCAGACGGTCATTAACATAAATAAATATAATTTAATACTTCGGATGACCGAGATTAATCAAAATATAAGTGACCTATTCTTCTGTGTGTTAGATCAAAATCAATACGTCACTTTCTCTGACACAAAGCATAGACGACAAATGACATTTGAGTAAGAGGTGATTGTGTCAAAATAATGGTTCCAACCGTTACAAAATATATTATAGAAAAATTCTTGTTCGAATATTTTTAAATATTTTTATATTAGTATGATTTCGTATATTACAATAAAAAATACAAAACTACATAACTATTCATTTTTATTTGAATCTTAAAACACTTTTTTTAATACTGAAAATGCTTTATAGTCAAGATGTTCTTGTTCTATAGACCTTTAATCAATCAATAACTTAATCAATAGCACTTTAAAGTTAAGAGCACATTAGATGCACTTATATTCGAACTAGGAAAAAAGAAAAAACACTGTCACAATGTTATCTTTAAGAGGGAAAAAATCTACCTGGTAAACAGGTAAGTTTTTTATCATGTGATATCACTGTCTTTTTATCGTAAAAATACTTGACAAATTTTTTTTTTACTATTTAAAATGCCTTTTTTATACAATATACATTCGAAGGGTTTGTCCATTATTATTATTATAAATCAACAAAGTTCCCACCCACGTACCTATCAAATCACAAAGAATTATAAATCAATTTCACATAACACTGACAAATTTACACTAAGCAATACCTATTAATGCAAAATAATTTCAAAATCGTACATTTACGCAACATCTCGCTTTTTATTTGTAATTTTACCTATTGCTCTCCGATTTGTTGGTTATGATAACCGTTGTTGTTCGATTCCATTAATTTAGCTAATTGCTAAGGTCGACACAATTATTGACTTAACCTTGAATTTTTCTAGAGAAAGTTTAAAAGTTAATTGGAGGCAATAAAGCATGAACTATTGTATAGGTGGAATTTATTCGAACAATCTGAAATTTTAAGAATTTATGCATACATGGTCATAAAGAAATGTTTGGTCAATATTAATGCATGTCAATTTGTGATTTATATTCGATTCTATGGTTTAAATCCTACTAATACTGGAGTTGTAATTTATTGCACCTTTCAGCTTTTTTACACCCATCTATTTAATAACACTCTCATTTTAAGCAAAAACAAGAGTAAAATCAGTAGGCACAGATTCTAAAATTAAAAATTTAGTCAAATATAAGAATAGGTCAGCCAATTGAGGATAAATTTGGAAAACCATTACCAAACAGGTGTAGTTTTATAAAGATACTAGAGAAAACTGAAAATAAATCATTGAAAAGGAAAATATAAGAGAAAACACTATAGAGACGGGCGCCTGAACATCTTGGAACAATGGGAGAAAACTGTAGCTTTGTTAATGACATGAACTTTAGATAAGAATGACAGTAAA